GATCCCGCTGACCTTTAGCTGCTCTAAGGTGCACCTCTGCAGCATTAATTCTTTTGAACTTATCTTCCTCAGACATATTCGCAGACTCCTGAATTAAACGCATGTTTGTCTGGCACTCGAAGCATAGATCAGATGCAGGTTTCATGGTATCAATATGGGGCAAGGTGTCTCGCCAGACTACATGAAATTTTGCCCAAGACACACGAGGTTACACTCGGCTTCCTTTGCAGTCACATACTGGCGGTAAATTTCACTTTTCGAGGCATTAGATGGTAATAAGAGAGACTTATCAGATTTTATAATTTGGTAGTCGCCCAGGAAGAGGCATAGCATGCACTTCTGCATACTTCTCAATGAATGATATCACATCCTTCACATCCTCAAACTGAATGCGATGTGTGGAGCTCTGTGGCAGATTTCCATGTTCCCTCGGAAGTGTCCCATTACAACAGTAATGTTCGAAGAGGTTACGGTATTTTTTTGGCTTAGTGTGTGGATGAACATGAAAAATTTGCGACAATACGCTTTCCCTTAAAATAGAAAATCACATATTTCTGCCTAGATGCACCTTCGCTGGAAGTGTCGCTGCGTGTGCCTGCAATTGCCCCAATACTAGCATGTCAAGTGATTCTTTGTCGAGTGTAAGACAGTCTTCACGTTGCGCCTGTTGTCGTCAGGAAATGAAATGCATGCCATCCATGTGTTGCTGCCGTTATCAGTTTTGAGGAGTGAAGAAGTACTTATCATGAAAGTGCCTGAGGCTACGTGGTGTTGTGGTCGTCATGGAAACGATGTAATACACTGCGCACCAAGTTTCACCTCCATGCGTGCTACAATTAGCACCATTGAGGAGTGAAGAATTAATTAAAATAAAAGTGACTGAGGCTACTTGTGTTTGGTCGGTCATGGAAACGATGTTACACACACGCGTACAAGTTTCACATCCATGCGTGCTACAGTAGCAGTTTGAGAATGGAAGAAATAAAGAAAAAAGAAAGAAGAAAATAAAAGAAGAAGAAAAAGAAAAAAAAGTAATACAAAAAAAAAAAAAACACCCAATCAAAAATATACAAAGAGTAAAGAAAAATTATAAAAAAAAATTAATGAGGCTATTCAAAACAAATGCCGCCAAAAACACATTAAAACAAATGCATACATACCAAGTTCATCTCCAATGTGCAACCATTGAAAGTTGAGGAGTGAAGAAGTAATTTTAAAGAAAATGCCTGAGGCATTTGTTGTTGTTTCAAACCATGTATTGTTGTGATTTTGATGTTGGTATGGAATACATTATGTCTACAAAGTTTCGTTCACATAGATCTACCAATTGTGAAGTTATCCTGATGTATATCCCTGGCTATTTTTTGTTTACAGTAAACAATGTTGTTTACAAAGAAATAAATAAGACCAATCTCTTCCGGTGACGGATATCTACTGGTGACATGTAATCGTCACGGAAATGATATATAAGGCATACATACCAAGTCTATGTGTGCTACCATTGGAAAGTTTTGAGAAGTGAAGAAGTAAATTTAAAGAAAAGTGGCTGAGGCTATTTGTTGCAAACATGTGTTGTTGTGATTTTAATGTTGGTGATTGAATACATTATGTGTACAAAGTTTCATTCAAATAGCTCTTACCATTTGTGAGTTATACTGACACATGTGATCCCATTATAATGTATTGCCCGGGGTTATTTGTTGTTGTTTACAAAGAAATAAGTATGACCAGTGTCTTTCGGTGACGGATATATACATTATTATAAAATTTCATTACTTTGTTGAAATTCCTATATACTAAATATAGGTTAGACGCGGAAGCGAGGTGTCTACGCTACATTGCAACCCGAGGGGCTGTGGAATGTTGGCGTCCCGAGCGCAGCGAGGGCGCTACCCACATGCCCCGAGGGTTGCAATGTTGCGTAGACAACCGAGCTTCTGCGTCTAACCGGTTTAGACCGGAGTATCTGATTGGTGTTTGCGCGTTCAAATGGGTAGCAACAAGCTAGCAACGCTGCGCTCATTCCTCATTCCTTACCTTCGGATGGAACAAGACGCTTTCGTGTGAGACTCCGAGGAGACAGCCCCCGCCCCCCGTCAAAAATCGTTTACGTCATCATAAAACGCCCTCATTGGTGGTGCGCGTTTGAAAGGGTTTAGCAACGCACGGCAACGGCCCAATGTGTTTGTGTATCGCCAGAGCTGAAGAAGCCGACGCTTTTTTTCGTGGAATATTGACGTGATTTCTGACTTTCGCGAGCTCCGGAGACTGTCCACAGACTTCTTGCAGGTGCACTACGCATTTTAAAAGAGCTACTTTGCCAGTCGCGCCTTCTACGCTTACATATACCGAACGCGGAATCGGCCAGTTTGCGCAGATAACGACTTTTGAGAATAGCCATTTTGTACGGGGAGATTGCTGTAGACCACCTGCAAACGCCATAGACACCTGAAAGGAGGTGTCTATGAAAAATAAACCCCCCGCAATTCTGTAATCTGATTGGTCAATTGCGTGTGACTGCGGTCTAAGTACTACCGTACTTAGTGATAGGGATTGACATGGTACCTAGCATCATAGATGTATGGGGCTATGATAGGGAGTTTTGTTCATCTTCTTCTTCTTCTTCTTCAACCAGCATAACTAAAAAAGCGAAAGAGATAAAGCCATGAAATTTTGTGGGAATGTACATATCGATAACCACATGTGCAATGTCATACTTTTTTTAACAATGTTGTTTACTGTAAAATTGCCCCAGGCAATAAATGTTAATGGGCATACTATATGTGTCGGTGTAACTCACAATTGGTAAGAGCTATGTTAAAGAAAGTTAGAGCTCACTCACGCTGAATTTCGTGTCTTCTAAATTTCGTGTATTCTAAGTGCCCGGGGCGTTTTTTGTGCGCGCATATAGTAGGTGCGCGTTAATTAGAAAACCACGCGCTGAGTTCAACATAGTATTACTGTGCTCGCTAATGGTCAGTGAGTGTGCGGGGTAAATAGTCTGGTGATGACAAGGCCGGATCAGTCGGAGTCGGAATCGCTCTCGATGAATGCCCGTTTCCTAGCCCTTTTCGTGGAGTTACTGCCGTTTCCGGGGGCCATGTAGAAGTTTACCGTGCAACGTTCGAAAACAGCGGATGGAAGGCTGAGTCCTGCTACAAGTTGTTGGTTGCTTTGCAGTGTTGAAACTTGAGTGTTGCAGGAGGGCAGCGACGTATTCACTCGGGTAATAGAAGAGGAGTCTGTGGAGGAAGTGCATCCTGGCGTCTTCTGTTGGTTTAGGATGTTGGACAAACTTTGACGTTGTGTGTTTGATATTCTCTTGTAGGATAAGCTTCGATGTCCAGTGCGCTCCATCACAAGCTGCTCTTCAACACCGTGGTGATACAGCCGACTTGTTGCAGTGGCCCTGAGAGAATGGTTCGTTTTGAAACCGGGTATTCCAGCCAGTCTACAGAGGCGTGCCACAGTTCCGCTGAGTTTGGTGTGACCCGATGCTTCAGTAGAAGTTGCTGGCCGCCAGTAAAGGACACGGGGTGGTGCGTCTGACGGACACTTCTCTGTGTATAACTTGAACAACCGCACAAAACATCTTTGTGGTTTGTCTGTAATAGCATGGTGGATAACCACTTTGGGTGTTGCCTTTCTCCCCTTTAGACCTCCTGGTCGGTTCTTTGAGATATCCTCTGTGTACTTCAAGAACGGGCGTTCTCCAGGATGCTCAACTACCTGAATTTGGCAGGGGTCTCTACGCAGCTGACGATGTTCCAACCCGCTGCGAAGAGCAAAAAACAGCCCATTGTAGAATTATAATGGTGTCCAGGAGAGTCTGTGGAGCAGCGTCCCCTAGAAGGCCTTTGTCCCAGAGAGTGTTTTCTTCCTCTGTCAATATCTCGGCCTGTTTTTTCCCGCGACCCAATACCCGCTACATTTCAGCGTCTAGTGATGCCCTGAAGCTAGAACTGTGGATCCCGAAAGAAATCCACTTGGGGATTCCCTGACTGACGTACATACCTCATCAGGCCACACAAATATGGTGTAAAGTGTTAGGTGGATACACTTCACCTGTTTTCCTTCTCACCTCTAGTATGAACATGGTTAGCCAGTGTGCAAGCTCCTCCAGTTGCAACTGATCTAGACTACCTATCTCAGTGCCTGTGACGTGACTACGATGCTTCCTCCATTCGTCCCAGATATTTTTGCAGTAATTTGTGTCCTGCTGTGTTTTTTTTGGAATTCCTTTCTGCCTAGCAATGAGAGCTTCGGCTGCACTCTTTGGAGGAGCAAAGCGTGTCGGTGGCTGCAGAGCGCTGTCGGTGGGAGGGGCTGGAGCTGGAGGAGGAGAGGCGTAGCTGGTCCCGTGCACATGCTCGTCGTTAGACGGCGGTGGTGGCTGAGCCGTAGCGTCAGTTTCGTAGCTGTCACTTGCCTCTAGCTGTATGCGGTCTATTTCGTTGTGGCTGTCTTCTTGCGAGTCTTCCAACCACTCCATGATGTCTTCGCAAAACATCGCGTTTTGGTTGCTAAGGGCGCGCAGAGCCTGCGCCCGCTCTAAATAAGTTAGGCAGGCTCGTCCAATGAAATCTACGCGATTTAGAAGGCCTCGGGCCCTTAGTAGTGTCCTCGCTACGCTACAGCCCAGGGCCCTCGGCCTTCTAAATCGCGTAAATTTCACGGAGTCACTGTCTAACTATTATTTTGTATACATAATGAATTCAATAGCCAACATCATAATCACAACAACACATGTTTGTAAATAACAACAAATAGCCTCAGCACTTTTCTTTAAATACTTATCAAACTTTCCAATGGTAGCACGCATAGAGATGAAACTTAGTACATATGCCTATTATATCATTTCCATGACAACTACATGTTTTCATGACGACCACATATTGTTCGAAAAGGCCTCTGGCAATTTTCTTTACAATTACTTCTTCACTCCTCAAACTCGCTAACTGTAGCACGCATGGAGGTGAAACTTGGTGCGCATGTGTATTACATCGTTTCCATGGCGACCACAACAACAAATAGCCTCAGGCACTTTTCTTTATAATTACTTCTTCACTCCTCAAACTCGCAAAATATAGCACGCATGGAGGTTGCGCATGTGCATTACATCGTGTCCATGACAACCACTTCGTTTAAACAGCAACAAGGCAATTTTACTTCTTCACTTCTCAAACTCGCTAAAGGTATCACGCATAGAGATGGAACTTCGTATGCATGCGTATTACATTGTTTCCTTGACGACCACATACGGTTTGAACAATAACAAATAGCCTAAGGCACTTTTCTTTAAAATTACTTCTTCACTCCTCAAAGTTGCTGATGGTAACCAACATGGAGATACGTATGCATACTAGATCATTTCTATGACGACTACATGAATGTAAAAAAATTAGACGATGGCATGCATAATTTTGTATGGTATAATCAGGTGTCTTATTTCACGTAGACCGCCAGCTGTCAGTTAGACACCTGTTGCTTTTGGTTACATAACGTTCATAGTTCATTATGCAATAGCTGCTTTCCCACTAATGCACAACTACAAATAATTATGCGTTTACAACAACAACCACTGTAAGACTACAAGTGAAAATTTACAGTGAAATTAGAAGCTCCAGAAAAGGAAACATGGGCCATTTTGCCAGAAGCAGGATCAGTATTCTCTTTACTGATCATAGTCTGGTTCACTTTCTCGGTGTCTGCAGGTTTAGATCGACTCTCCACAGCTCTCAAATTCAAAATATCTGACGTCTTTTCTTTCAGATGTTCAGTCACACGCTTGTACGATCTTACTCCAGCAGAACTACAGTGTCCAGTGCGTGCCATTATCAGCTGCTCATCTAAACCAGCATCAAAGAGACGTGTTGCGCTAGTGGCACGGAGAGAGTGATTGCTGTAATGCCCTGTTATTCCAGCAGACTTGAAAAGACGAGCAACAGTGCCTGCCAACACATTGTGTCCAACAGCAGACCTTTGATACCACACATCGCCTTTAGGTTTGGTCAAAGGACGAAGGTAAAATGCATCGTCTTGACGATCTTTGGGACACTTTGAATTATATAGCCTAAACAATCGCAACAAGCACCGTTCAGGGAATTGAACATTAGCATGATGTACAACTTTCTTCGGCAGCTTTTTACGATGAAGCAACCCCCCTTGGTTTGTCTTCGCCACATTTTCAGTGTAAACAAGGTAAGGTGAAGCATCTGCATGCTCAACTACTTGAAGCTGAGATGGCCTATATCGTAGCTGCCGATGCTCTCCCCCACGGATTGCAAAATATAAACCAATGTAAAAAACCAAGTATCCAATAGCACTTGGGGATTTCCATCTCCAAGCAAGCCTTTGGCCCAAAGCGCATCTTCCTGCTCAACATCGACAACCTCAGCTTGCTGCTTTTTATACTTGCCTGTACTTCGAAGACGCTTCATTTCTGCATCTAAAGTACCTTGAAAACGACTAAATTTCGAATCCATTAAAAGCTTAATGTCAGCACGATCACTGAACTTGAACTTCTTTGAAGGCTTGAACATATACTGTACAAAGAATCTGGAGGGTAGTGATGCTTATCTTGGCGCCTAACCTCCAACACAAACTTAGGCAGCCAAAATTGCAATGCCTTAATACTCATACTAGCAATATCCTCACTGAGCTCATGGTTTCCTTCGAGTGGCAACAACGGGAAGAGTTCTACGGACTTTGGCCCAGGCCGACCACACCCCGCAAGCCCAAGACGTCTGCCTACGAGTCTTCGGCGGCACTCCAGACTTTCTAGCCTCTTCCACAGTTGTGGAGGTAACAGGCGCACCAAAACGATGGTTAGTGCTACTGTCATCCTCCTCCGTTTCGCGCGCGCTCACCGCCACCGCCTCGTAGTCTTGAGATGCAGCAAGCAGGAGCTGATCGATTTCAGAGTCTTCCGTCGATCCCACGTGTTCTTCCGGATCCGTGTTCATCGGCTGGCATTCCTCACCGACCTCCGAAGCAGTATCTCGTCCGTCATCTGTGTCCCAACCTTCCACGCAGAGATTCCAGCGATCACCAGGGGAAAAATGAGTGGGATGGTCACCAGTTAGCACAAGCAAGCCCGAAGAAACGACTTCATCCTCCGTTTCACTCACTGTAGCGTCCGCCATCCCCTAAGCAAGTCAGACACCTGCGGCGTGCGTCTACGAGGTTATAGATTCCTCGTGGTCGGTCACGGATGATGCAATAGTAACCTCGGCTGCGCCTCGGTCACTATTGCATCATTCCGTGACCTCCCACTCGGAATCTATACCCTCGTAGACGCACGCCGCAGGTGTCTAACCTACACATAGAGACAGGCAAATTTCCTCAAATTTCTTCTTCACTCCTCAAATTGGGTATCACACAGAGAGATGGTACACATGCGTATTACATCGTTTTTCATTAATGGTAGCATGCGTGAAATGTATATTATGTGTGTGCCTTAATATCTCCATGACATTGCGGACGCTAAAAAGTTGTGCGTACATTCGGTTCACTACCTCAGTGCGCATGCGCAGCTTTTAGGCGCGCGCGCGCACATATTGCAGGACGGAGACTACACAACGGCGGGCCGCTGCTTCGGGGACAAGTCAAGATGTATGCAGCATCTGCTGCCAGAAAATTGGCCCGAAGGATAAGGTTCTATTCTGCTCAGGGAGCTGCCAAAAGCATCTCCATCGCTACTGTGCAAGCGTCAGCCAGCAATCCTACAAGACGCTGACGTCCGACGACGCGCAGCCATTCCTCTGCTTTTGGTGCTTCAGGGCACAGAAGGATGAAGAGGTGGCGAAGCTGCACAGTATTGTCGATCTCCTTAAAGACGAGCTCAACGCCCTGAAAAAGTCAACTCATAATCGCGAGCAATGGCTGCCTCTTGCGCCCGGCACTGGGCAACCTACTGCGAAGGATAGTCTTCCTTCTACTGCACCTGGTGAGCCTACTGCCCGCTCTACAACCCTCTTCCCCCATACTGCTCATTCTGTGTCATATGCCTCCTATAACCAGGAGAGTAAGTATAATTTGGTTCTCTACTGATCCTGTTGTGGATGTTTCAGTGACACAAAGGCTAAGGAATGGATACAACAACCAGTAAGTCTTGCATGAGTACGAGGGGGGCATTATGGATGATATGGGCGGTGGTAGTAGTGTATAGAATTACAGTTTGTACTGTACCAGCGTGTGGTACCGCTCGAAGCATGTTCCTGGGCAGAGGTATGGAGCGTTTGGGCAAGTTTTGCACCGATAGGAGGGTCTCACACGATGCTGTGTTTTGCTGCAAACCATGCAATCACGCTGTACACTTGTCTTACAGAGCAAGTGTAGGCGTTTGTTCAGGCGTTCTGGCCCATGTGTCTCTGGTTGGGCACGTTGCCGAGGCCTGCCAGGTAGTGGACGTGGAGGAGCAGACTGCACATAGCTAGCAGAAAGAGAGTCGATGAGCATGCGGGCGATATGTGAATGTGTGATTTGGTGACGGTGTACTCTCGCGGTTACAGCACGTAACTGTTCATCACAACTGCTGTTTCCATAAGCCAGAAGAAAAGCTTTCGCCACCACTTGACGGTCTTGCGAATGAAGCTGTAATAGACTGTGTGCTGATCTGCAATTGTCGACGCCGTTCATTTTATGGTTGTAAGTGTCAACAACAACAGGCTTTACTGCGGGGGGAGAAATAGCGGTTCTGTGACTGCACTATGGCGGTAGCTGCTGATGCTGAAAGTAGACAGCATGAGGACAGGTTTCTTTTTTTCTCAGCACGCCATGCCAAAGCCATCAAGTGGTCACGTCTGAAAGCGACGACCTCCCCACCTGCTAGTCTGCAACCACCCCGGATTTCATCTGGTAAGTCTGCCCTGTTTTGGTTGATGGTGCCTGTGAACGCTGTGTTTTGAGCGTGAAGACTTTGCGCTAGTGGAATGCTTGTGTAGTAACGGTCTGTGTAAACGTGGTGACCTTTTCCCTGATAAGGAGTGGTAAGGTGGAGCACGATTCGTGCGGCCTGTGGGAGAGTGGGGTATGCTACACCTTCCAGTGTTTCGCTTCCAGTATACACCAGGACATTCAGAACATACCCATTGCTGCTGTCGGCCAGAGTAAAACATTTCACCCCCCACTTCGTTGGCTTATTGGCATGTATTGCAGAGGACCAAAATGCCCCCTAAACCCTACCATGGTTTCATCTGCTGCCAAGTCGCGTTTGGGATAGTAGCAGCGTTGGAACCTCTGAAGAAGAGGTGTTCATTAGCATGCTCACCTTGTCTATCCTCTTTTGTGTGCTACCTTCGGTGTGAGAGACATGTAGCATCCAAAAAATTAGCTCAAACCGATCTCGTGGCATGATGCGGGAAAAGAATGGTATCTGTGATACCCAGGACGTTTTCCAGTAGTCCTCGATCTCAGGGACCTTTATGATCCCCATGTTGAGCACAATGGCAAGAAACCCATGGAACTCCTCAATGGTCAAAGGTGTCCACTTTCGGAAACGGGATTTTTGCCTGAGGTTGCCCTGAGCCTGGAGCTTGGAGATCTTTTCTGAAGCATACCTGAGGAAGTACAGTAAATTTATTTGTTGCTATAGAATTGTAAATATTTACCTGTTTGTCTCCATCACTATCAGGCCAACAATATCTGCTGTAAGGAGTTGTACTAGGAAGTGAATTGGCTGAGGCTCATCTGGAAGATCAAGGCGTGGTCCTGTGGATTCTGTGAAGCTCGGTGGTGGTGGTTGTGTGTCACTATCTGGTGTTGTTGATTCCCATGGAATAGAGCTTCTTCTGTATCCCCTCTCTCTCCCCGTCACTGTTCTTTGCCCCTGCCCTCTCCCCCTCCCTCTCCCTCTCCCTCTCCCTCGACCACCTCTACTCCCTCTCCCTCTCCCTCGTCCACTTCTACTCCTTCTACCATTCACACTCTCTCCGCTGTTCTCCAACTCACTCCTACTCTCATCTCTTGCAGGTGCAGGTGTTTGCAAGATCTCTCCTGCATCATCTGTTATTGTGATTAGCTATCAATAATCTTTTCTCATACATATTATTGTTCTTACCATTTGTGTTTCAATCATCATTTTCCGATTCTGTTCCAGGGATTGGAAAGTCAGGATCATCATCTATTTCACTGTCAGAATCGCTGCTGAATGACGCGTCTAGCAGGTCCACCGCTTCGAGCGCCGTGTATGTAGCCATCGCTGTTTTACTACAATACACTTGCACAGCTGCACGAGTGCGCGTACTATATAGCCTGCCTTTTTTTCGCTGCACTCACACTGAAGGTCAGAGTTCAACTCAGAGCCTCAGGAGTAGTGTCTGCTTTCCGTGCTGTTCGAGTTCCCAAGAAGCGTTGGCAGATTCTGTAAGTTTATTTTTCCCGTGCGAGGTCCTATGGCTTGGTGTATAATCCAATCCGCGCTTTGCTACGTACCGCCGCTTGTGGGCCCTTATTATTATAAGCCTCCGCCGCACTGGTTAATGTTTCGTAGTATAGTCAATAAAGTTTGTTAAACTTTCAATCTTTTTGGTGGTACTCCAATACTTTTGTACTCCTGTGATAACTGAAAAACTTGGCTGTCTGAGTTTAATCCTCTGACAGTGAGATTCTGCCTTTGTTGTATTTATGCAATGATAGACCCTCTCCCGTGGTGGAGGTGTGCTGATTGCCTGTTAGATCATCTTCTTTTTTACTTCCCCTATACCCTCTCCACATGGTCTAGAAGTTAATATGTATCCAAATTAGGTCAGGGTAATGAATATTATGTAATTTTGTGTGTCTATGTACCTTCCTGGCTCTCCTGCTACCTCGTTTCTTCCTTAGTCAATTTCCTCCACCAAAACTTACCCAATCCTTTACAAACTGTTTGTTTTTGTCAGGTTGTTTTTTAATTTTCCCCGACCATTGACTGGTCTGTTTTAATGGTCCCTCTAATCCATCTATTTGTTTTTTTTTGGTAACTTTGTCTTCCGCTATTGCAATTCTAGCCCAGCATGTTTTTGAAGCCCACCCATGTTTGAAGGAAATGTGCTAGCTCTCGTTTTTTTACATCTATAAGTGGTGTTTTTTTTTAAAATGATCTTAATGTACACCCCTATCTGTTTTTTTGACTGATATGCCTGTACGCTTTTGAGTCCTGTTTGGTAATGTTTTTCCATCTGCAGCTGAATGTTGTCACCTGGTGTTGTTTTTTAGATTTTGTAAAGCCGCTATGAAGCTTTGTTCTTACTTACTAGAGTCCCCCTGATTTCATTATTGTGTTTTGTCGACAGCTCCAACATTGAATTTTATTTGGTTTTGTAATCAATTCTTTCATTTAATAAAGGCCATTTGTTATACATTTCAACGAAAACTAGTTTAGCGGCGCCAAGGACCACAGGGTTTGATTCAGAATATACGGCCATCACTTAAATGCCTTTGAACATTTACAAGAAGCTTCTAAACGTCAACCCAAACTCTGCCAGGAAAAGTAAAATTCATGTATGGAAAATCCGTCTTCAACTCAAACTTATGCAAGCTAAGTCTGATTATGAAACTAAATTGATTGAGTCCCACCAGTTTTCCAATTCTTCCGCTATTTACTCTTACATTCGTTCAATTTAAAATCAAAATGTTTTGCCTTCCTCTCTCTATCTAGACGACACCGTTGCTGTTTCGGATCTCGATAAGGCATCCTTGTTTAACCAATACTTTTATTCAGTATTCACCAGAAGTACCTTTCAGTTCAGTGAATTGAAAATGCCCACATCTTCTCTCAGCGATATAAACTTTAGTGAATTGGACGTGTTCCGTGTCCTCAGATCCCTTGATGTCTCAAAGGCCATGGGATGTGATGGTATTAGTCCAAAGATACTAAAACATTGTGCTCTAGCTCTCTACCAACCTTTCCACCATCTGTTTTCCCTGAGTATATCTCAGAGTTATCTCCCTATCGAATGGCGCACTCATTTAATAAAAACCAATTTTCAAATTCTGATGATAAGAATTCTGTTAGGAATATAGACCGATCTCTCTGCTGTCCGTGTTTCAAAGGTTCTGGAGAAACTTGTCTACAACAGTACTGTGGATTTTATAACAAACTATATCTCTGTCTATCAGTTTGGATTCTTATGCGGGCGTTCTACTCTGCAACAGTTACTGATTTTCTTTAACACCATACTCAGCTCTTCCTCTCAAAAAGATGTTATATATGAAAGGCCTTCGAATCTGTGGCTCATAATGAGCTCCTCTATAAGCTCTGGAACTTTGGCATCACCGGAACTCTCTGGTTATGGGTGAGAGCTTACCTGACCAATAGAGTCCAGTATGTGTCTATTGGTAAATGTTCCTCAACAACTTTACCTGTTCTCTCTGGGGTGCCGCAAGGCAGTGTTCTCGGTCCACTCTTGTTTCTCATTTTTGTGAATGATTTGCCCACCACTCTGTCGTTTTCCAAAGTTTTACTTTTTGCCGATGATGCCAAGTGTATCATGCCCATTTCCTCTCTGCAAGATTGTATCCATCCCCAAAGTGACCTATCCAGAGTCTTAGAGTGGTGCAAAACATGGAACCTGTTTTTGAAGGAGAAAAAGTGCTCCACTGTTCATTACATGCCTCGTGTGTCTACTACACTTAACTATGACTTGAGTGGTCAACAAATACCTTCTAAAGCTATGGAAAAGGACCTGGGTCTAATTGTTTCGTCCGATTTTAACTGGCGACCTCACTATCAATCCATTACCTCTAGAGCATACAAAGTGCTAGGACTACTGCGCAGAGTTTTCTCTGGCTCTGTTTCTGTGTCGGCCAAGTGCTCCTTGTATACTTCTCTGGTCCGCTCCCAGTTGCTTTACTGCTCCCCTGTATGCCATCCATATGTCTTGAGGGATATCAGGTGTCTTGAACTAGTCCAGCGAAGGGCAACAAAGTTTATTACCAATAATCCAGTTATGGACTATAGAAATCGGTTGATACATCTAAAAATGCTGCCTCTAATGATGGAATATGAGATTGCCGACATTATGTATGTTCTTAGTGAAGTCCATAAAGTTTCCATCTGACCACTTCAGGTTCTGTGATTATGCTAGTCACCCAACTAAAGGGTCCTCCAATTTGAAACTAAAGCATTCTCTATGTAGGACAGAAATAGAAAGGCACTTTTACTTCAACCATATTCCTCGACTCTGGAACTCGTTACCCACACTTGACATCAACCTCCCTCTTTCGGTGATAAAATCTGGAATACGTCAATTTTTCTGCAATCATTTTGTGTCAAATTTTGATTCTAGCAATGTTTGTACTTATCACTATTCATGTCCCTGTCTAAAGTGTTCTAAGCTACCGGTAAACATGCATTTTGGTCTTCGTGTAATGTAATGCTGTTTGTGTCTTACGTTTTTGTCTGGCTGCTGGCTCTATGCCAGTTGTCCTTCAACACAGTTATTATATTTATCACTCTCACATTTCTGATGTACTCTCCTTATTGCAATCTGTATTGTAAAGCTGAATAATAATAATAATAAAGCGCGCTGTAACCCGGGCGACCTCCGCGCTTGCTAGCTAGCTCGACTCCGACGACGACGGTAGGACAGCAGCGCTCTGCTCTCTTTTGCTCTCTGTGTTGCCAACCTTCACTGGGGGATGGAAGGGGGACTGAGAATTGGCAAGGAGAGAAAACTGAACGTGAGGCGTCTGAAATTTGGTGAGTTGTATGTATAAAGTGTGCGGTGCACTTCACCGCGCAGTTTTCAGTACTGACTTGTGTTGAGACGCGCTTGATATTGGTCATTTACGGATTATAGTTCCTGTGCGTTACAATGCCTGGTTTATCAAACAGAAAAGACTTATCAGATGGCTTATTATGAGAAAAAAAGGACGAACTGAGGGGAAAGATACGAGGCTGATCCCAGCAAGAAGCTAGGGAGGGCAAAAAATCTTACGAGGCCGACCCGAGCAAGAAGATTCAGGCTCAGAAAAAATCTTACGAGGCCGGCCCGGGCAAGAAGCTTCAGGCTCAGAAAAAAGTATATGAGGCCGACCCGAGCGAGAAGCTACAGGCTCAGAAAAAATCTTACGAGGCCGACCCAAGCAAGAGCCGGGAAGCTGAAAGAAATCGTTACAATGCTGCAAACAAAAAGCAGCAAAGGACAGGTACAACTCCAATCCTGTTCCAAAGAAAATTGCAGATTTGGTGCATTACAGCTGCGCAACGTAAGCGCATAATGCAAGATTATTACAGATGGTGCTGTTCGCGTCTGCTGTTGAACAAACAGAAGGGTTACTACAAATCTGCCCTTTCAAAACGAGCAGCAAAATTAGTGCGCCGCATGGAGTTGAAGACCCATGCGCAAGTGTCTTTTAAGATCATGCAGGATTATGCAAGGCATCTTGCGAGATAAATTTCTGTGATCTTGCAAGAAGTATGTGCATATCTTACATAAATAAAGAATATGGCCACTTTCTTGCATAATCTTGGCTGTATCTTGCAAGTTCACTCTTGCAAGGAGAGCAAGACTAACTTGCATATACCATTAGTACTTGCAAGACTTATAGCTCCTTGCAAGACTGCTGTAGTCTTGCAGGATATCTTGCAAGATATTTGCTTGGTCATATTGTATAACGCCTTGCAAGATGACAATATAGTTCTTGCATTAATCTTGCAATATAATAGCGTACATTTATGCAGCATGCACATGAAAAACAATTGAATTAAGAGTGATGCAAATGCTTGTATCGACTATCTGAAAAGTAATCAGTACATTTTTGTGTCATTTTGCGCCTGATCTCCTTGTTCATTGTTGTCACACCCCATTTCTCTTGTAGAATACCTGAGCAAAAAGCACAAAGGCAGAATTGCATTAGCTATTGTTCCAATGTCTTTTAACTTACTATCAATGTATTTCATTTTCTCTGGATCAAGTCGCTTGATTGTCTTCTGTCGTGCTGCGTCCTTAGAACGTGTAACACCAGAAGGATTCCCATTCACCATTTGTTCAGTAGAGAACAAACAGTCCATCAATTTCAGAGCTGCACCACCAGCATCCGACTGCAGCTTGGCATTCTGAAGACGTACTTGATCCACCCCTTTCAGAAAGTGCTGGAGCAACAAGCACAGCAGTGTACAAGCATGAGTGTGTGCAAGAGATTGTTACAGGTATATGAATTAAAGGCACAATGACAGCTCACTGGAATATCTTGTTCTCTTGGTGCAGGAGTTGGAGACGAATAAATCGGACTCTTACGAAAAGGACCTCGAGGTGGCAGAAATGAAAATGCAGGACCATCTGGGGTGGCTTCTGACGCTGAAGAAATATCGGGTGAAGTTAGCTGTCTTAGGTGATTTAGTTCAGCTGCTTGTTCCGAAACTTTTCTTTTTAAACTCACGTGTGACCTCTGCTGTACAAACACAAGTTACTGAAGAAACAGCAGTGCAATCCTCACCTCTAACATGCGGACCTTTTCCTTCAATTTTGCCATTTCCGAGGTGATAGGGTTGTGGAACATTCCTGGTCCCTGTAAGTGTCACTTTCCATGCAATTATTGTTCAAGTAATATTAGTGACTCACCAGTCCAATCATTTTCTTGAACATCTCATTCTCCGCAATATTCTTTATTCTTTTTGCTTCCAGGTTTGTTGGAGAAATGACAGTCTCGTCCTAAACAACCACAAAATATAATTTGCTGTGATAATATTAAGAGAAACCTCTGATCCAGATATCGACTGGTAGACTTTCTGCAAAAATTAAGTTCCCAGATTGTTTGTATTAACCACTAGACTTTACTCACTTGTTTCTTTGCAGGTGGATGTTGTTCCTCCTAATAGCAGTTAGTACCAGCAATGTAAATGATTCTAGATTGTGCATCAGTGTATATACCTTATCCGATTCCTCAGAGCTTGCATCATAGTAGGTTTTTAACCTTTTACGTGGACTCTTTGCCTTCATTGGTAATCAGATAAACATAAGTATACATAGAATGTAAGGTAATTTACTTCGGTGGTTCTTCATTTCTTTGATGGAGTCAAAGGAGTTCTAGGAGTCTCCATCATCTAATTAATACAGATTCTGGTTAATCAATCAAGCAGGTCCTTTAAAGTACCTTGGAATCTTTATCAATAGCCTCAGAGACGTCCATTCCTACCAGCTTTTTCTTACTACTGTTTTTTTGTGGTGAATCCCTTCCCGTGTCTTTCAGAGTAGTGTCTTTCCTTTTCCTACCATTAGAGAACTTCCCATCACTATTGCCCCCTGCATTACAGCCTTAAGACTATTGTGTGGTCAGACAACGTATATTATATTACCTCCTTGAATCCTTTTTTCCCCCTGTCTGGCTTCAGTTGTATTCTTAGTCTTTTTTTCGTTCCCACGCCTTTCCTCATTCCCCTTCTCCTTCTCACTCCCTGACTCCTTTTTCTCGGACTCTTTATTCCCCTTCTCTTTCTCACTTCCTGGCTCCGACTTCTTTTCATTCCCTCCTTCCCTCTCATTCCCTGACTCCCTCTTATTCCCTGTCAAAGCATCTCTTTCACCCGATGAGGCATCTACTCCACCCTGTTCACTTCCTATAAGGTGACCAAAAAGCTATATATATATCCCTCCCATTCACTTGTAAGTTGATTTTACCAAGTTCATTTTCTTCTGCCTCTTTCTCTTTCTGTTTCTGCTGCTTCTTTATCTCAGTGTACTTACCTGTGGCAGAAAATTACAATTACTGTCCAAGGACCGATGGAGAAAGGGGGGTGAATTAACAGCATGATGTGCCACACATGGTCTACCAACACAAACATAGGAGCTAACTGAGACGCACACAAGCACAGTAACTCTGCGATTGGTAGCTAGTGACCGTGCATAGGAGAAAGGCTGCAGGTATCTTTACTTGATTTTTAAAAAGTGGGTGAGAGTGGGGTGCTTCAATGGTACATAGCTACACACACTGTACACAAAGCGTACGCTCACTCACCAACAGCGACTACCCTAGCGGGGTACAGAGTGTTGGCAAAAGATGCTTGACATTCATCGCCTGCAATGAGGTCTAGTACATCCTTTCCACTTGGGACAGTAATGTCCCGAGCTGGTACTGCATCAAACAATTCTTCATCAGCATCTTCTGTCCATTCGATTAGAAAGTACAGATCTGTGGGAGTGCATATCATAGGGTAGAGGTGGAGATATTGCCACACCTATCGCTAAAATGGGACACAGTCATAATACCCTAGTTTCCCACACCGGGTCTTTTTAATGTGGAGCACATGAGGGTCTGAACACCACACTAACTCAGCAATACAATAGTGCAATCCATACTAAACACCCTGCCTACTGGGAAACCATACAATACCAGATAAGATCAGTGCGTGCACAGACTTGCACTAGCTCAGATACGCCTTTACAAGGTATATACAAGATACTGGACACGGGTTTGAACTTGCCAGGGGAAAATCCAAAAGCTTGCCTTTTACAAGTTGTTTCCTCTGCTTGTCTTCCCGTCTTGATTTACTTCGGCTGCTAGCCATGTCTACGAGCAGCCCCCGCTGGTCACCCCGGGATCCGGGCTACATAGACTATCACGAATAAAAGGCGCACACACTAAAGACTCTCTTCCCGAGAGTAAATGCACACACTCACCAAACTGCAACACTCTCCAAGGATGCTGCTCTAGCCTCTAACTCAGCCCGCTTCTCGATCTGTCTCCCCATGCACACCGCAGGATTTGAGCTCATTCCACGTGGGCGCGCATGCGCAAGTAAAATATTTCCGTTCCGTTCCACTCTGGGACTTGGTGTACATGAGTCCTCGCACGCAGCTAGGGGAGGACGCCGGAAAGGACACCTGCGTTGGCTATGTCTGAGAGACGGCTGAGCAAGCGGTCTCAACGTCGACTACGGCTGCAAGTTGCGCAACGTTTAGCGGGGTCTACTGTGTCTGTGTCCACTAAGAAGCCCCGAATCGAGCCTACTACTGCTTTCACCGACCATGGAGCTGAAGATGGGGACGACGCGGAGGACCAGGAACCTCAGCGAGAAGTGGAAGCGACGGCCGACAGCATCGGCGAGAATCGAGAAAGTTGTGGTGACGTGGAAGGCGCGGAAGACGTAGAAGGCAGACTCTCTGGCGACGATAACCCAAGCGAATCTGGGTCTTCAGCTGGACAACACCGCGTGAGTGATGGCGAACTGAGTGAGCGTGTTACTGATTTCAGCGAGGACGAGAGGGATCTCAGCGAGAACGAGGGCGATTTTAGCGAGGAAGAGGGGGGTTCCAGTGAGGGGGATTTCAGCAAGGATGATTGCAGCAGCAATGAAGATATGATTGCAGTTAGAAGCGTTGCCACTGGTACACACGGTCCACTTTTCCAAGATTCTGCTGTTCAGAGTGACGATTTCAACACAGCATTCTTATCACTAGCACAAAGGCACAATTTGACTTACTCAAGCCAAGGTGATATACTGAAGCTTTTGTCCATTGTGTTACCATCACCAAGCTACATTCCATCTTCTGCTCATGTGCTCTATAAGAAATATTCTAATTACAAAGAGGACACTGTTGTGCAGCATTTTTGTGACAATTGTACATGTCCTCTTGAGCCAGGTTCGTCCTGCAAACAGCAGAAATGTGCTAAAGCATCGCGTGGAGTTTTTGTGCGGATTCCCCTACGCATGCAGCTCAAAGAACGCTTTGATGGTACAATGTTTATGCGTTGTTTTGTATAGCACATAACAAGGCTATATCTTTTGCAGATCCTGAATTTCCTTATCTTCTGAAGTATCGCTTTCGTCGTGAACAAAAATATGGCATTTTGTCCGATATCTATGATGGACAGGAGTACTGCAAGCATAGCATGTTCTTCGCATCTGAATATAACGTGTCCTTCGCCCTCAACTTCGATGGAGCGCCGAAGTTCAAGTCCTCATCAGTACAAGTTTGGCCAATTCAACTTTACTTGAATGGACTGCCACCTCATGTAAGGTATGTATGTGTCGCTGCAGGCTACTGTATTTTCAGTAGCCATTCATGCTCAAATTTAATGTAGACTTCTATATTCAGGGGATCAAGGCAACACATGTTCTTGGCAGGGATTTGGTGCTCAGTGAAGAAGCCCCCAACATGTGCCTGTTTGGCCCCGATCTTGGAGGAACTGGAAGATTGAGCTACAAATGGTACAGGATGGCCCTTAATTCTGTGATCCTACATAAGTAACATAATTCTTTACAGGTGTGAAGGTTACTGTGAGAGGGGAAGAAGTTACTTGCAAGGCACGGCTACTTTTTACACTAGCAGACCTACCTGCAAAGGCATCTTTGACTAATATGATCCAGTTCAATGGCAAATTTGGTTGTCCAACGTGTAAACATGAGGGAAAGCAGGTATCGCATGGTAAAGCTAAAGAATTGACTGTAAATATATATGTATGTTATGCAGGTTTCAATTGGAAGAGGTAGCACTCGAGCATATGGATATCAGCCAGTTACGTTACGGAGCCATTCACAACACACAAAATATGCCATGGAGGCTGAAGCAACCAGTCAAGTAAGGGGCATACTTAGATTTGATTATCCTGATTATACCATTTTTTGCAAATATGTTTAGGTTGTATACGGAGTGAAGGGAAAATCTATCCTTCACAACCTGCCTGAATTTGACATCATTAACAATAACCCTGTGGACTACATGCACTGTGTGCTGTTGGGAGTAGTGCGTACATTAATATCATTGTGGTTCGACTCTAAAAACCACAAGGAGCCATGGTAAATTTTTTTTTTCTTTTGGATAATTATGTTTTTGCCACTTTTTAGGTACATTGGACGTAGGATTTCTGAGGCAGAATCAAGACTTCTCGGGGTTAAACCCCCTGATGTAGTTACAAGGGTACCAAAATCTTTCAGAGGTAGAGGCTGGAAAGGTACAGTACTAGTATATTTTCCCATCCCTAATATTGGATGTACTGGAGCTTTAGTGCATGGTGTATGACCCTTGCCCATTATGTGGCTTCTGTTTGCTGTGCAAATAGTAACTTCCTCTTAATTGATGTTTTTTTGCAGCAACAGAATGCAGAACATTCTTACTTTACTATCTACCACTGTTGCATGGAATCCTGCCTGACAAATACCTCGTGCATGCTCTGCTGCTCTCTAAGGCTATGAGACTCCTTCTGGCCGATGAAATTTCTCAAGCAGACATAGAAATAGCTGACAACCTGTTGGGCTTATATTGGAGATTAACAGAGGATTACTATGGTTAGATGCTATTACCAATTGTGTGTGTTAAGCCAACATCCAAATGCTTGCAGGCCTGAAGCACTGCAAGGTCAATGTCCATCTTTTGGGACATTTGTCGCATTATGTGAAACTTTTTGGGCCTCTATGGACTCATTCTGCCTTTGCCTTTGAAGACGCAATTGGAGGTTTGGTCAAAAAGTCTCATGGGACACATGACATAGCCAATCAAGTATGTTCTAACGTTAATAGCACATGTAACCAATTTAATTGTCTGCTTCCAGATTGTGACATCATTTATTCTCCAGTGGCGTCTTCATGTGCAAAGAAAGCTCACGCAGGGTCCTCTCATTTTAAAATCATTTGTGGATCAACTAGACACAAAATCAAGGTGTATTTTGCAAGCATAATTGCCAGTGAAATTTACCTGCTTCTATATAGGTCAACTCAGAGATGTACTCAGCTTAGTCAATCCCTTGCTGGAGTTGGAGTGGCTAAGACCATCAGTTTGGATATGGAAGATGAATCCATATTAAAGCCCCTGCTGGAGAAAAATAGTGTCGTTATCAATGCCTATGGAACAGTTAAGCTGTGGCCAAAGATGATTTTGCAAGATAAAGTAACAATATATAGTCAGGCTTCTAAACGGGTAACTAAACGGAACAGTTATACTGTCACTTTTGTGGACCCTGAAAGACCTACTTGTGTTAGATATGGAAGAGTTCAGAAGTTTGTATGTTGCCCACCTGACACACCAGATAGCGTGAACGCAGCTATCGTTCAAGAGTTGAAAGTTCATAGGTGTATGGAGCTTGAAGCCCTGTGCTTTCCTTCTGATATCCGATGTCTCTCTGAATTAGTCTGTTGTGATTTTGTTTCTGTAGTGGGTGAGCTATCTAAGCTTGCTATACCTGTTGAACACATTATGGCAAAATGTTTCGATATATCTACTGTTAATATGTGTGTCATCACCCAAATGGTGTGTCATTCAGAAGTTTTAAAATGATTTTTTTATTATTCCAGTTGTTAGTGTTTTTTTTTTATGTTTGCAAGATAAGTTGCAAGATAAGTCTTGCAGTTGCAAACAAAATCTTGCCGGCAGTCTTGCAAGGAAATGGACAATTTTGTTTTACTTGCAAGATGATGTCTTTTGCTGAAATTTCTTTCAAGTTCTTGGAAGTATAACTTGCAAGAATCGTCTTTACAGTCCTCCTTGTACAATCTTGCAAGATCATGGAACATCTTGCATAAACTTGTATGTTCGT